GAGCCATAGGGTCATCGGGAGCAGCTAGCTGTGCTGCGGCTTGTTTTTATTGGTGGCCGGTGGCCGCGGTGGGAAGTTGGGAGGAAAAAGGAAAGGAGGGCGCGGGATGGCGAAAGAGGAAGTGGCGTGGAAGAACATGCAGGAACATGCGGGTCCCCCCAGGCCCCGGTCGGATGGGTGTGCCCCACTGAGCCGAGCGCAAGGCGACGAGGGAACGACCGAACGAAGCTGGGGGCGGGAGGCGGGAGCTGATCGTCATCGCCGTGACGCGCCACCGTACAACTCCGGCAATGGATTTCAAGTTAGAGTCAATGCCGTACAACTCCGGCACGACCGAACGAAGCTGGGGGCGGGAGGCGGGAGCTGACCGTCATCGCCGTGACGCGCCACCGTACAACTCCGGCAATGGATCTCAAGTTAGAGTCAATGCCGTACAACTGCCGGAGTTGTTTGAGCTCCGCAATGGATCTCAAGTTAGAGTCAATGCTAAGTGCAATTACTGAAAAAAAAACTTTGACTGCTCGTTCTAGTGCTGGTATTGGTCATTTGATCAGGCATATCAAATTATGCAAACCGAGAAAGCTTGGCAGTAATGCCATGTCTCAGTCCCTGCTTAGGTTTAATCCTGATGGTTTTGTCCATCACTGGGAATACAGCCCTGAGGTTGCTAGAACACAGTTGTGCAGGTTGATTGCTAGAGAGGATCTTCCAGTTTGTTTTGATGAATCTGCTGCTTTTGAGGAGTACATTAAACTTGCTCATAACCCTAGGTCTGTTCCTGTCTCTCGGCAAACCACCACCAGAGACTTTGTTAAGTACTTTAATGAACGTCGTAGCAAACTCCTTGAATCTTTGAAGTCTGTTAGTTCTGTTGCTTTGACATCTGATATATAGTCTGGTAATGCTAAAGAAGACTACTTAAGTATTGTTGCTCACTATGTTAACTCTGACCGGCAATTAGAGAAGAGGATTTTGGGTCTAAGGTTGATTGATGTGTCACACAATCATGAGAACATTGCTGAACGTGTGCTTACTTGTATTGATGAATATAGCTTAACTGATAAGGTTTTCTCCATTACATTAGACAATGCTTCTGCAAACACTAAAGCAATGGAGATTCTTGCTCCTGCATTGTCTGGTTATGTTGGTGAACTGTTTTTGCATCAGCGCTGTGCTTGTCATATCATTAACTTAATTGTTAAAGCTGGGCTAGAAGTCTTCAAGCCCATGCTGCATGCTTTTAGAACTGCAATTTCATTTATGAATTCCTCTAATCTGCGCATTGCATCATACAAAAATTTCTGCATTGCTAAAGGTGTCCGCCCTCGTAAGTTTGGCTTGGACATGGATGTTAGATGGAATGCAACCTATCTAATGCTAAAGCATCTAATAGGACACAAGGCCCTTTTTTCAGTGTGGATCACTGCAAACCATCCTTTGGTTGATGGCCAGCCATTGTTGATAGAGAATGACTGGAAAGCTGCTGAAAAACTTCTCATATTCCTTGAACAATTTTATGATTCTACTGTTGTGCTGTCTAGTGTTTATTATCCAACATCTCCACTAATTATGCATCATGTTCTTGAGATTGCTGGACATTTAAATACTAATGAAAGAGACAGGGACCTGAGAAATATTGTTACCCCCATGAAAGAGAAGTTTGAGGACTACTAGTCTACAATTCCAATGCTTTATTCCTTTGCTTTTATCTTGGATCCTAGAGCCAAGATAAGAGGATTCACCAATGTTCTCCAAATTATGTCTAAGCTAACTGATGAGAACTATTCTGAATATTTAACCACTGTTAGGGCTAACCTATCTGATACTTTTGCTAAGTATGACAACAAGTTTGGTGCTGTGAGATTGCAAAGGGCCACAGTTCTAGGTCTTGCTTCAGGGAAGAGAAAGACTGCTTTGGGGGAAAATTTTTGGTGGCACTCCAGGTGGTGGACTTGGTGCTGGTGCCAGCCTAGCTGGTGGTCTTGGTACTGGTGCCAGTCTAGCTGCTGCTGGACTTGGTGCTGGTGCTAGTCTACCTCCTGGACTTGGTGGTGGTGCATCTTCATCCACTAGGAGGCCATCAACATGTGCTTTGCTGCAGGCAGCACACTCTGGTGCTAACCTGAATGCTTCTGAGTTGGCTGCATACCTTGACAGTGACACTGTCAACCAATATGACGACGACTTCAATATCCTTAACTGGTGGCATGAGCACAAACTGTCATATCCTGTTCTTTCCATCTTAGCCAGGGATGTTTGACTGTGCCTGTTTCTACTATATCTTCAGAATATGCATTTAGTCTAACTGGCAGGATCATCGAGGAACAACGACGGCGTCTAACTTCAGACATGGTGGAGATGCTGTCGTTGGTGAAGGACTAGGAGCAAGCAGATACAAAGACTCAACATACCATGGAGAATGTGGAGCTAGTGGAGGCATTTGAGAACTTGTATCTTGGTGATGAGAATGTGTAATGCTGTGGCCTGTGGGCTTGTACTCTTTTCCTTTCCTTTCTGGATGACTGTAAGACTTAATGAACTTATGAACACTTATTAAAGCTGTAGGCTGTACTCTTTTCCTTTCTGGGGTTTTCTCACGAGGTGTGAGTTTTTACCCAGAAAGGTTTTTAATGAGGCAGCCATTGCACTAAGCAGCTAATATATCAGTTATTTATGTTTACATTCATGTTACTTGTGATCTATGAAAGATGTTTACTTGTTGAAAGATAACCGAGAACTTGTTGAAAGATGTAACTGAGAACTTGTTGAAACCTGTTTACTTGTAATCTGTGAAAAAATCTGAGCTAAACATGTTTTTTTGAGCCTGGGGAGTGTCGGGCCTTGGGCTGGCACGGGCACGCTCACAAGGCCTTTAGGGCCGTGCTTGGGCCGTTAGTGCTGCCCGTGGGCCGGCACGGCATGGCCCGATGCACCTGACGGGCCGTGCCGGCCCGATGACCTTCGGGCTGTGCCGAGCACGGGCCCGTGCTGGGCTGGGCCGGGCGGCCCGAATGGCCATCTATAGTCATCCATGGCTCAGACCTCACAGTGAGTCACGGCTCAGTGAATACCTTGACCAGGGAAAAAAATGGCAGAAACTTCTGTTACAGTGGTACAATTAATGTAAAATAACAAAATAGTGATCAAAGTTATATTCTATAGATAATGAAAATATCATTTATTTGTGACTAGGAGTATATATATAATCGATGCATTTATTATGTTTAGTGAATCAAGGGTGCGTACGGAGTAGTAGTTGTGTGTACTTGACAATGGTACAAGCTGAACTTTTCACTTGTCGATCATCAGAGTGCTATAGCTAGTGATTTGAGGTAAGATTTACTCCCTCCGTCCCTAAACAACTGCCGCTTTTGGTTTTTGTGTCGTAAATTTGACTGAATTTGTAGAAAATACGTGCAACATTTATATCTCTAAATAAATTTATTATGAAAATAGAAAAAATATATCTAATGATATTAATTTTGTACCATAAATATTAATTTTTTATATATATTTAGTCAAAGTTGTTTCTCGGGAAACGTAAACGACAGTTATTTAAGGATAGAGGGAGTAGTTAATTGCGTTAATGTACAATTTAGAGGCTGTAGCCTGCAGTCTCATTTAGCTTCGCTATTACCCGTTGAAGAGCACCTCTGTTGAATGTCACCATAACCGGAGATTTAAAACGCTGCTTGTCATGCTGTGCAAGCCGGAGCAAAATGGCAAATGAAAGCCCAACTGGTGTACAAGTAGAGTACAAATTGGGCGCCATGCAATGCAACAAATGATCCCAGCGAGGGGGAGAGCATCTTTACTCGCAGGCAATTTTCTTATGAAAACTTGTGCATCTAGGCTGACTGGTCTTTTGCCCTGACACATGCATGACGGGAACAGGGCGACCCACGAAAATTAAACTAGGAATTAGCCACCACAAGTTTTGTATCTTTTTCATATGTGGGGGAGACATGTCACATGTCTGTCTTCCACTAAGTGTAGAGTACACTATTTCAAAGACAAGGTACATCAGAAATTCAGATGAAAGACATGGATACGATAGTTGAAGAGACGAGGTCAAAGACAGTGTTGCGGTGTTGGCCATTTGCCATGTCGACCACGGTCACAAGTGGCGTAGCTCGGATGCAGAAGCTATCAGCCCGCGCCCAAAAATCATAGGAGATAGAGATTGTACATCGCCGGTAACACAAACTAAGGCCCCGTTTAGATCCAAAATTTTTTGAATTTTGGCTACTGTAGCATTTTCGTTTGTATTTAACAATTAGTGTCTAATTATAGATTAATTATGTTCAAAAATTTCGTCTCGCGATTTCTCACCCAACTATACAATTAGTTTTTTTTCGTCTACATTTAGTACTACATACATGTGCCACAAGATTCGATGTGACGAATACTGCGCAAAATTTTTTAGAATCTAAACGGGGCCTAAACATCCAGCAGTCTAGCCCATCTGCAGACCGCAGATGACAACTGACAATTTTATTCCAGAACCTGATGAGTTGATGACTACTAGCTCTGCCAGACTGCCACCACCAATCGTCTAAATCGACCTACCAATTAGAAGCCGAAATGTGGCATCTTGATGAACATGTATAAATGGCATAAGTTGACGTGGCAGTGGCAGAACTGCTGCATCAAAATTACAGGAGAATAAGATGGGCCGTACAAGCATGCTTCTGAACAACCAGCAGACAAACTGTGCATGCTCTACTACATAAATAAAAAATGGAGTTTATGTACGAATCTAAAGGGACTACAGGTATATACAAAAAAAATCCTAAAGTTACAACGTAAATGGCACCATAGTGGGTGCCCTAGAACATTTTAGAAGTCAGATTCTAAAGACGAGGGTGCTTCATAGCCGAAGAACATCCTTCTACTATTTTTAATACTGGGATGGAAAATTAGTGATCCAGTAAAATTAACACAACTGCCACGATGATGGATCACAAACCTTCACTGGAGAACGTAAGTCATCTCTTAACTTATTGCTGGTTGTCATGTTGCTCCATTATTCGCCTTCTTTCAGCAGCTAACCCAGCTGCAACAGATGGAGGCAAACTCCTCAAGCTATCGCCATAATCTTGATCTGCCTGTTCTAGGGGTTCATCAGGTCCTGTCATCAGGAATAATGACTCCACATCCTTCAGCGTCAAAACAGGCTCATCTTTGAAGTTTTTGGATTTACGGGTTATAGTAGAGCAGACAGCTCTGCTCCTGTTCAATTTGTAGATGCTCTCTTCTATTGTTTTCTTCACCTGACAATAAATAATACATCAAAACCCGTTTCCAAGAATATATTAAAGAGAAGAAGAAAAAAGAAGAATAGGATGTAGCGCTTACTATAAAACGGTGAACAAATGTGCTTTTGTCTTGCCCAACTCTATGGATCCTGCTGATAGCTTGTGCCTCAGCGGCAGGGTTTAGTAATGGCTCCACTAGAATAACATGTTGTGCTTCTAGTAGATTAAGACCATTTGTTCCATGCTGCATAAGCATCAGTAGTACTTGAACAGGCTGCATTGAGGTTGTCCTTTTCACTTTAATCTACATTTACATTGCTCACCTGACCCTTGAATTGGGAGAGGGCTGCCTGTGATTTTCTGAAAAGGAAGCAAACTTTCACAAAGTCATTTCATTGCTCAGAAGTCAGAACAATGGAGCATATAGAGTACTTCCTCAGTGATAACCATCTAACTGAAAGATCAGAAAGGAACAGTTTGGCCAATCAAGAAAACTGAAAGAACACGATTCTATATATTTTATCACACCTTCCTCCTTTCATCCGAACATATGAAATGTTGTTAGCAGCGAGGGAGTGCTCTAGTACATCCAGTACATCATTCCAACTTGAGAAAACAAGAACTTTAGATGTTCCATCAGTTGAAGTGATTCTCAAGATTCTACTTGTGACAGCTTCAATCTTCATCAGGAAAAGAGAGAAAATGGGATCATTACACTGAACTTAACATACAATAACCAGACAAACCAGTAGAGGAGCTTGCTTAAGTATATGACCCATCTCTTTCCCTCTGCAAATATTTAACAGCAAGTGCATTATAGAAGTGTAGTTAAACAATAACATTTTCAGGACTCTTGAGAATATAGTCATTCCATCTTACAGGCATTTTCAGGACTCTTGAGAATAGTCATTCCATCTTACGGGTTTACATTATTAACTTCAACATACAATAACCAAACAAACCAGAAGTTGTGGTACCTGCTTAAGTAGTGGCCTATCCCTTTTTTTTTCCTTTGCAAACAGTAAGCAGCAATTGCATTATAGTCTTATAGATAGTTGAATACTAATAACATTTTGAGGAATTTTTAGAACATAGTCCTTCCATCTTATTCCTGTTGGGGTGTAACCCTCTTAGCGACGCGCTATGTCGGAACCCGGGTATGGTGTTAAATGAGCAAAGGCCGGGTCGTCACCCCCGTGACGCGCCGTGTCGCGATCTGGACACGGTGTCAAGTGAGCAAGGATCGGGTCGTCGCATCCTTAGTGGCGCGCCACATCGGCGCCCGGGTGTGGTGCAAAATGAGCAAGGGTCTTCACACCTACCTAGGCGGGTGCGAAGGGTAAGAAAGCTAGTCGAGCCAACTAGGATCCGTTTAGGTAGCTGGAATGTAGGGTTCCTTACAGGTAAGTTAAGAGAGTTAGAGGACACAGCGGTTAGGAGGCATGTAAATATCTTATGCATCCAAGAGACTAAATGGAAGGGGTAGAAGGCGAAGGAGGTGGACAATACCGGCTTCAAGCTCTGGTACACAGGGACAACTTCAAATAAAAATGGAGTAGGAGTTTCGATTGATAAGAGCCTCAAGGATGGTGTGGTGGAGGTGAGAAGGCAAGAGGATAGGATCATCTTAGTTAAACTTGTCATTAGTGATATGGTCTTAAACGTAACCAGTGCGTATGCCCCCAAGTAGGCCATGATGAGAGTGCTAAGCGGCTTTTCTAGGAAGACTTAGATCGCTCTAGGAAGACTTAGATCGCTTGATTAGAGCTGTCCCTAGTAGCAAGAAGCTCTTTATAGGAGGTGATCTTAATGGCCATGTAGGTACATCAAGTGCAGGTTTCGAGGCGGTTCATGGGGGTTTTGGATATGGTAGTAGGAACTAGGAGGGAGAGGAAGTCTTAGACTTCGCCATAGCTTTTGATCTGATGATAGCTAACACTTTCTTTCGTAAGATACAGTCCCATTTAGTGACCTTTAGTAGCGGCCAGTACTCTAGTCAAATTGACTTTGTCCTTACAAGAAGGAGGGATAAACGAATATGCGTGGACTGTAAGGTGATACCTGGATAATGTGTGGTCGCTCAACACAAGCTAGTGGTGGCTGATTTCCGCTTTCTGGTGCAAGCTCGTGGGAACAAACAAGCTAGGGTTGCTAGAACGAAGTGGTGAAAATTAGAAGGGGATGCATCAAAGGTCTTTAAGGAAAAGGTCATTGAAGAGGGTCCTTGGAATGATGAAGGCGATGCAAACAGCATGTGGGAGAAGATGGCAACATGTGTTTGAAAGGTTGCTTCAGAGGTGCTTGGAGTGACCAAAGGGAGCGGATGCGACTTGAAAGACACTTAGTGGTGAAATGAAGATGTGCAAAAGACTATTAATGAAAAGGAGTGCTATAAGCGCTTGTATCATAACATGTGTGCAAACAACATAGAGAAGTACAAGGTGTCAAAGAAGACTGCAAAATGAGCGGTGAGGCAAAGGGGCGGGCCTATGAGGACCTTTACCGACGTTTAAGTACGAATGAAGGAGAGAATGCCATTTATAGGATGGCTAGGGCTCGCAATAGGATGGCTAGGATTCGCGATAGGAAGACAAAGGGACTTCAACCAAGTCAAGTGCATAAAGGATGAGAGGGAACAACTCTTGGTGAAGGAGGATGAGATCAGACATAGATGGCTAGAGTATTTTGATAAATTGTTCAATGGTGAGAACGAGAACACCACCGTTCAGCTGGACGACTCGTTTGATGACACTAGCAGACGCTTTGTGCGGAGGATTCAAGAATCGAAGGTCAGAGAAGCTTTGAAAAGGATGAAAGGGGGCAAAGCGATGGGCCCTGATGGTATCCCAATCAAGGTGTGGAGACGTCTCGGGGATATAGCTACAGTATGACTAGCCAAGATGTTCAACGATATCTTCCGATCGAACAAGATGCCTGAGGAGTGGAGAAGAAGCATATTGGTACCAATATAAAAAAACAAGGGAGATATCCAAAGTTGTATTAATTATCGGAGAATTAAGTTGATGAGCCACACTATGAAGTTATGGGAGAGAGTCATCGAACAGCGCCTGCGAGGAACGACGCAGATATCAACAAACCAATTTGGTTTCATGCCCGGAAGGTCAACCACAGAAGCAATCTTCTTAATAAGATAGGTTACGGAGCGGTTTAGAGAGCAGAAGAAGGATCTCCACTTGGTTTTCATTGACTTGGAGAAGGCATATGACAAGATACCAAGAAATGTTATGTGGTGGTCTTTGGACAAAGATAAAGTCCCATCAAAGTACGCGACCCTCATCAAGGACATGTACAACAATGTTGTGATTAGTGTTCGAACAAACGATGGTAACACAGATTACTTCCCAATTAAAATTGGACTTCATCAAGGGTCAGCCTTAAGCCCGTATCTCTTTGCCTTGGTAATGAATGAGGTTACCAGTAACATATAAGGGGATATCCCTTGGTGTATGTTGTTCGCTGATGATGTAGTGTTAGTGGACGAAAACTAGGCGGGAGTAAATAGAAAACTAGAGTTATGACGACAGACCCTTGAGTCTAAAGGTTTTAGATTGAGCAGAACTAAAACCGAATACATGAGATGCGACTTTGACGGAGTTGTACAAGAGGAGGGAGATGTGAGTTTGGAAGGTAGTGCCTAAGAAGGATACCTTTCGGTATCTGGGATCGATGCTACAAAGGGATGGAGATATTGATGCGAACGTTAGCCATAAAATCAAAGCAGTGTGGATCAAGTGACGACAAGCTTCTGGCATGCTCTGTGACAAGAGGATACCACAAAAGCTAAAAGTTCTATAGAACGGCGATTAGATCGGCTACGTTGTATGGAACAGAATGTTGGTTTACAAAGATTCGACATGTTCAACAACTGAGTGTTGCAGAAATACGTATGTTGCGATGGATTTGCGGTCACACAAAATGGACCGAGTTCGGAACAATAATATACGTGATCGCCTAGAGGTAGCACGAATTGAAGAAAAGCTTGTCCAACATCGATTGAGGTGGTTTGGCCATGTCCAAAGGAGACCTCCAGAGGCACCAGTGCATTGTGGAGTCCTAAGCCAAGCTAATAATATGAGGAGAGGTAGAGGAAAACCAAAATTGACATGGGGGGAGGCAATAAAAAGAGATTTAAAAGCTTAGGATATACCTAGAGATCTATGTTTGAATAGGAGTACTTGGAAAGCAGCTATTGAAGTGCCTGAACCGTGACTTGGGGCTCTTGGTGGGTTTCAACTCTAGCCTACCCCCAACTTGCTTGGGACTGAAAGGCTATGTTGTTGTTGTTGTTATAGTCCTTCCATCTTATGGGGTTACATGATTAATTATGTGCATGGACACATTGACACAAAGGTCCTATTTTCAAATGTAGTTATGCGAGTTACAAACCAAAATAAAGCAGTAACCACAGGGTTCAAATGCAGAACAGATAGAACGCCAACAAAGTAATGAGATTGCATGAAACCTTTGTTCCATATGAACCTTGGACAGAAATAGTGCTTTCAGCCAAATCTTCAGTGCTCTTTTCAGGTTTGTCCCAAGCTTTCTCAACTACAAAAGCAACATTCTCAATATCTGTTCGCTGACGGCATGTGGGGCACATAATCCATTTTTTACGCTTTCTGAATTGGGCTGCAGATTGTTCTGTCATGTAAAGACAACCTGAGAGCAGTAAGAAGATAATTTAGTCAAGGTCAGGAATTCACTATACATCATATGAGTACTTGAACAAACAAGTGGCATGATTATCCAATTGTATGTCCTGAAGTTACATCAGCATTGAACTTAGAGGAAGGGTAAGATTGCTAAAGTAAATTCCACAGCACAACAAACAGACAGATACGTTATACTCCATCCCAGCCCAGAATACTACTTAAACTGGACATTACTAAGGCTTTTGATTCTGTATCTTGGTCATTCCTCCTGGAGGTTCTTGATAAAATGGGTTTTGGCTCGAGATGGCGTGATATTCTGTGTGGTCTATTGGTATCTTCTTCCACTCGGGTGCTCCTTAATGGTATCCCTGGAGATTTTATCCAACATAGAAGAGGACTTCGTCAAGGGGATCCCCTCTCTCCGATGCTTTTTATTCTGGTCATGGATGTTTTAAATTGGATGGTTACAAGGGCTTCTGAGGCAGGGCTGCTACAACCCCTATCTAGAAGACCAATTCAGCATAGAATTTCCCTCTATGCGGATGATGTGGCCCTTTTTCTCAGACCGGCTGCAGAGGACATCTCTCTGACTCTAAGCATGCTCCAACTATTTGGGGATGCGTCAGGGCTCAAGACTAACGTTCAGAAGAGTAGTGTGATGCCAATTCAGTGCTCGGAGGATGATATGGCTATAATACAAAGCTTACTGCCTTGTGAAATTATGAATTTTCCATGCAAGTATTTGGGTTTGCCCTTGTCTCTCAAGAAACTAACAAAGGAGCAATTCCAGCCAATAATTGACAGAATCGCGGATCAATTACCGGGTTGGAAGGCAGATTTGATGACACGGGCTGGTAGGGTAGTGCAAGTGCAATTTGTCTTGACAGCCATGCTGATCTATCTAGCCATGGCTATAGATCTACCTCCCTGGGCAATTAAGGCCATTGATAAAATCAGAAGAGGGTTCGTGTGGAGAGGACGCAAGGAAGCAAAAGGTGGACATTGTCTCATCGCGTGGCCCAAGGTTTGTCGAGCAAAGGAGCTAGGTGGGCTTGGGATTTCTGATCTGAAATCTCTATGTATTGCACTAAGAGTAAGATGGCCATGGCTCAAAAAGTCTGAACCTAATAAATCCTGGGCAAGTTTGCCACTGCAAGTCAGCAATTGCCACTGCAAGTCAGCAAGGATGCTGAATGCCTCCTCTCCCCGGCCATTATTACTGAAATTGGTGATGGTGCCAATACCCTTTTTTGGAAGGATAAATGGTTGGCTGGTAAGAGCATTCAGGATCTTGCACCCAATCTGTATGTTCTAGTACCAAAAGGAAGGGCACGCAAACACACTGTGAAGACTGCTCTTGATGAGATGAAATGGACAGAAGATATCCAAGGGGAAATACCTGTGCAAGCTTTAATGGAATATCTTGAGCTATGGGATATGCTAGAGGATATAAGTGTACAGGAGGGGATCCCTGATAGGCATATTTGGAGGCTGTCCGCCTCAGGTAAATATACAGCTAAATCAGCCTATGGTGCACTTTTTGAGGGAGCCCTCAGTTTCGCCCCATTTGAGCGCATCTGGAAATCTTGGGCGCCCCCTAAGTGTCGTTTCTTCATGTGGCTGGTTGCTCACAATCGCTGCTGGACAGCTGACAGGTTGGCTCGAAGAGGTCTTCCTCATCCGAACCATTGTCTGCTATGTGATCAAGAAGAAGAGAACATCCAGCACCTTCTCATTGGGTGTGTGTTTGCAAGACAATTCTGGTCTCATTGGGTGTGTGTTTGCAAGACAATTCTGGTATGACATCCTACATAGCATCGGACTGGCAGCACTAGCCCCGCAGTCAGATGTTTCCTCCTTTGATGATTGGTGGGACAAGGCGGTCTTGACAGTAAGCGAAGATGCGCGAAAGGGACTGAATTCCCTCATTATCCTAGGAGCCTGGACCATCTGGAAACATCGAAACGATTGTGTCTTCAACGGAGCTACCCCTAGATTATCTACAGCTTTGAACCTTGCTAGGGAGGAAGCCCTCCTTTGGTCTTTGGCTGGTGCTAGGGGACTGTCCCCGATACACAGCTCTTGATGTTTAGAGGGTCTCTGGTCATGGTTTTCTTCTCAAGCATAGGTGATTAGTTCCAGTCAGTAAGTGGAGGTGTGTTGGTGTTGTGTTTGTGGGTGTGGGTGTGTTTGGGTCTCTGTATGACTCCTTTCTCTTCTATTAATACAATGATACGCAGCTCTCCTACGTATTCGGAAAAAAAAAATTATAGTTCACTTTAGCTTTGTCCTAAGTCAACTCTCTAACTTTGACCAAGTTTATAGAAAGACACATCAACATCTACAATATCAACTTAGTTTCATTAAATTCTCCATGAACTATGTCCTGGTGTTGCATTTATTTGAATTTGTAGATGTTAATATATATATTTTTTCTAAAATCTTGGTCAAAGTTAGAGAAATTTGAATTTAGGACAAAACTAAAGTCAACTATAATTTAGAACGGAGGGAGTAGTTTGCATCAGTCAACAGTAGTATCTATCTTATCTAGGAGTACTGCTTTTCTTCAATTGGTGTAGCTTTGAACAAATTTTGAACACAAAACTTGCATGGATACTCACACTTGCAGCATACAAAATGACCACACTGGAAAACCATTTTCTGGTCAAAAACCTTCTCCTGGCATATTGGGCATGGTTCATTACGAAAATCAGAGACAGTTTGCCCTGTGACTGAACATGAAGCAACTGTATCAACAGCATCGCCTGCTTTAGCCAATGATTCGCCATGCTGGTTATGTGTTTTCTTGTTACATACCGCCAATCCCTAAAAGCACAGATGTGATCTACATAAAAAAGGAGCCATGCAAGAACAGGACTCTGTAGCAGAGGTATTATATTAAGATGATATTAACCCAAACAATAACGAGTGACCCATATGATGATAGTATAATAGTGCAATCTTTGGGAACAAACAAGTTATGTAAATTGTACACTAAAATGTGAAGTTCTATGGCAGAAGTTTACTTGAAGTTATCACACACCTTTAAGTTCTGGAGTTGGCCTCTTACACGGGCTAAAGATGAGAGTGACATGAATTTTTCACTTGTAAACTGGACATTATATGGTATGAGTTCCTCTCTAGTTACAATATTGGCAGCGCTAGGTTCATCGTCTTTCTCTTTGAGCTGAAGTCTTGAGATGGACATCTTGATCTCGTCATGAGCACGCAATAATTGGGTTTGAGCAATTGACAGAAACCTTGCTTGAGGAAACTCCTTGCGCATAGCCTAAATTATCATGTCATGGTTAGCAACGAGCTTGATTATGTCAAAAGAGAAAGAAACATTTTCTACCTCAAAAAGAAGTAAATGTTTTTTAGCAATTGCGGAATATTGCTTTCCCAATACTGTCTTTGAGTGATTCCGGATAACCCTTAATGCAGTCTCGGTTCGAGAAGGATGCCTGTAGACCTGTAAACATTAGCAATATTAAAAAAATATATAACAGATAGATAACACATAAATGGAATAATGGATCAATATCGATCGTTTTGAATGCCAGGTCAGAGTAGCGCAGAAGAAACTTTAAGTGATGATGGTCCTTGCAACACCTTTCACGGAATGCAAAGGCGGATGGACTGATCAATACAGATCTTAGAAGACAACAACAACAACAAAGCCTTTAAGTCCCAAACAAGTTGGGGTAGGCTAGAGTTGAAACCCAGCAGAAGCAATCAAGGTTCAGGCACGTGAATAGCTGTCTTCCAAGTACTCCTATCTAAGGCTAAGTCTTTGGGTATATTCCATCATTTCAAGTCTCATTTTATTGCCTCTACCCAAGTCAACTTCGGTATTCCTCTGCCTCTCTTCACGTTACTATCTTAGCTTAGGATTTCACTACGCACCGGTGCCTCTGGAGGTCTCCGTTGGACATGTCCAAACCATCTCAACCGGTGTTGGACAAGCTTTTCTTCAATTGGTGCTACCCCTAATCTATCACGTATATCATCGTTCCGAACTCGATCCCTTCTCGTATGACCGCAAATTCAACACAACATACGTATTTCCGCGACAGTTATCTGTTGAACATATCGTCTTTTCGTAGGCCAACATTCTGCACCATACAACATAGCATGTTTAATCGCCGTCCTATAAAACTTGCCTTTTAGCTTCTGTGGTACCTTTTTGTCACATAGGACACCAGATGCTTGGCGCCACTTCATCCAACCTGCTTTGATTCTATGGCTAACATCTTCATCAATATCCCCGTCTCTCTCAGAGTACTCGATCCTAAATATCGAAAGGTATCCTTTCTAGGCACCACTGGACCTTCCAAACTAATATCTTCCTCCTCCCGAGTAGTAGTGCCAAGTCACATCTCATATACTCGGCTTTTAGTTCTCTCGAGTCTAAAACCTTTGACTCCAAAGTCTCCGCCATAACTCCGCTTTACGATTCACCTGTCCGCGCTCATCAACTAGCACAACATCGTCTGCAAAAGCATACACCACGGATGTCCCCTTGTATGTCCTTTTGTGACCTCATCCATCACTAAGGCAAACAAATAAGGGCTCAAAGCTGACCCTTGATGTAGTCCTATCCTAATCGGGAAGTCATCCGTGTCTCCATCAATTGTTCGAACTCTAGTCACAACATTGTTGTACATGTCCTTAATGAGTCCGACGTACTTCGTTGGGACTTTATGTTTGTCCAAAGCCCACCACATAACATTCCTTGGTATTTTATCATAAGCCTTCTCCAAGTCAATAAAAACCATGTGTAGGTCTTTCTTCTTCTCCCTATACCGCTCCATAACTTGTCTTATTAAGAAAATGGCTTCCATGGTTGACCTTCCGGGTATGAAACCAAATTGGTTCATAGAGACCCGCGTTATTGCTCTCAAGCGATGCTCGATAACTCTCTCCCATAGCTTCATAGTATGGCTCATCAACTTAATTCCCCGGTAATTAGTACAACTTTGAATATCCCATTTATTCTTGTAGATCGGTACCAATATACTTCTCCTCCACTCATCAGGCATTTTGTTCGATCGAAAAATATGGTTGAACAGCTTGGTTAGCTATACTATAGCTATGTCCCCGAGACATCTCCACACTTCGATTGGGATATCATCCGGTCCTATCGCTTTACCTTCTTTCATCCTTTTCAACGCCTCTCTGACCTCAGATTCTTGGATTCTCCGCACAAAGCGCCTATTGGTGTCATCAAAAGAGTCATCCAACTGAAAGGTTGTGTCCGTATTCTCACCATTGAACAATTTGTCAAAATACTCTTACCATCAATGTTGGATCTCCTCCTCCTTCACCAAGAGATGCTCCCTTTCATCCTTAATGCACTTAATTTGGTTGAAGTCCCTTGTCTTTCTCTCACGAACCCTAGCCATCCTATAAATGTCCTTCTCTTCTTCCTTCGTACTCAAATGTTGGTAAAGATCCTCGTACGCTCTATCCTTTGCCACACTTACAGCTCGCTTTGCAGTCTTCTTTACCACCTTGTACTTCTCTATGCTGTCCACACTCCTGTCATGGTACAAGCGTCTATAGCATTCTTTCTTCTCCTTAATAGCCATTTGGACTTCCTCGTTCCACCACCAAGTATCTTTAGCCTCGCCTCCACTTCCTTTGGTTACTCCACACACCTCTGAGGCCACTCTCCGAATGTTGGTTGCCATCTTCTCCCACATGTTGTTTATGTCCTCTTCTTCCTTCCAAGAGCCCTCTTTGATAACCCTTTCCCTAAATATCTCTGACATCTCCTCTTTCAGTTTCCACCACTTTGTTCTTTCAATCTTAGCTTGTTTATCCCTACGGGCACGCACCTGAAAACGAAAGTCTGCCACCAAAAGCTTATGTTGAGAAACAACACACTCCCCTAGTATCATCTTGCAACTCAAGCATGCTCGTTTGTCCTTTCTTCCTGTGAGGACAAAGTCAATCTGGCTAGAGTGTTGTCCGCTACTGAAGGTCACTAGACGAGATTCTCTCTTTCTAAAGAAAGTGTTGGCTATCATCAGGTCAAAAGCTACCGCGAAGTCCAGAACTTCCTCCCCTTCCTGATTCCTACTACCATACCCAAAACCTCCATGAACTGCCTCGAAACCTGCGCTTGTAGTACCTACATGCCCATTAAGATTTCCTATAAAAAGCTTCTCACTACTAGGTACAGCTCTAATCAGGCCATCTAAGTCTTCCCAGAACTGTCTCTTAGCACTCTCGTCGAGGCCTACTTGGGGGTATACGCACTAATTACGTTCAAGACCATATCACCAATGACAGGCTTGACTAAGATAATCCTATCTCCTTACCTTCTCACTCCCACCACACTATTCTTGAGGCTCTTATCAATCAAAACTCATACTCCATTTCTATTCGCAACTGTCCCTGTGTACCAAAGCTTGAAACCTGTATTATCCACCTCCTTCGCCTTCTGACCCTTCCATTTAGTCTCTTGAACGCATAATATATTTACACGCCTCCTAGTCGCGGCACCAACTAATTCTCTTAACTTACCTATAAGCGACCCTACATTCCAACTACCTAAACGGATCCTAGTTGATTCGACTAGCTTCCTTACCCTTCGCACCCGTTGACTCAGATGTGAAGACCCTTGCTCATTTTTCACTACACCCGGACGCCGATGTAGCGCGCCACTAAGGATGTGACGACCCGATCCTTGCTCACTTGACACCGTGCCCAGATCGCGACACGGCGCGTCACGGGGGTGACGACCCGGCCCTTGCTCATTTAACACCATACCCGGTTTCCGATATGGCGCGTCGCTAAGAGGGTTACGCCCCAACGGTTTTCTTTCGGGTTTCATCTCCATTAGAATGGCTAGATTTAACGTTGACTCGCCACGCCTATCACAACCCTCCTCCTTTACCAGGGCTTGGGACCTGCTATGTTGAGACAACATATGGTAAAAGACAAACAGAAGGTGTAACATTATTTTCCAGAGGGTTGGGGTTGTAATGTTATCCTTGAAAAAGGTGTGGATAGAAGAAAAAGAGGAAGTGACAACTATTGATAGTACTACATGCAGGAATGGAAGTATGTAACACACCTGTATGTTTTCTCGAGCTGACCTAGGATTGTTATTGTCATAGCCAGGTTCAGATCCCTCATTGGATTTTCTATTACGGAAGAAGTGATTGAGCTCATATTTTCGCCTCTGTAGATCCTGTGCTTCTTCTACTGAATCAATGACAGAATCATTGTTTGATTTCTTAACAAGAAACAGACGTGCTTCATACCTCTAAAAGAAAGGAAGAGATTAAATCAATACACGATGGATTTCATAGAGGCACAAAAACATCAGCAAGCACTGGTGCATATTAACCTGAAAGAGTTCATCTAGCTCACACTGGATACATAGAGAACCAGTGCCATCATAGCACTTCGGACAATATCGCTGGCCCTCAATGTCCTCATCCCTTGGGTTATCCATTGTTTTGTCAACTTCCAGAAGTCTATCCACAAGATGTTGCCTCAAACTTTGTAGAGAATCAATGTCAGCTTGAATTGCATATTTTAATCCAGCAATACTTTTAATCCTGTGAAAGAACAAAACAACCAAGTTAACCATCAACTATAGAAAATAAATATTTTTTGACATATATTTAGTGATATGAATTCTTGAAAAAATGAATCGACATAGGTACCATGGAGAATATTAAAACAAGTTTGCTGCAGACCTGGAAGATATTCCCCTTGAACCCAAACCAGTGGTGCTCTTACTAGAAGAATTATCAATCTTCTTGATGAGTTCGTCAGCAGAAATGTTGTTCCGTTCAATGCAGTCCAAAGCATGCAGCCACCAATTCATAAGCCCACTCTGTAGCTCTTTAGTGATATTCAAGACCTAAAGGTAGGCAGACGCTCAGTATGAGGAGAAAAGGGAAAAGGCTTGGATCAGATAAAACTTACCAAGGATTAAAAATACAATAATAACAGGACAAAGAAATATAAATAAATTAATATAGCTTGGTGCAGCTCAAAAATAAGAGATAAATGTAGTGAACTTACCTCTGTGAATGATACATTAAAATCCTTCTGTGCTACTACCAGCCTTGAAGTAAAAACTGACAGGTATTTTTCTGTGATTGCATTGCAAGTCTTCCTTAAGCAGTCATCAGCAAAACATTCAGATGATGAGTGGCATCCAGCGACATTCTCCACACCCACATCGCCAGTTGTGCATGCTTGTCCAATAGTGTTTTCATCTTCTTCAGATGTTTCTAACCCATTAGCTGTCAAACTCGAAACACTGTTTTTACATATTTTATTTCGTTTCACACAAAGTACATTTGTCTCAACAGTGTTAGTTTCCTTTCTTTTTCGGCTGATTGCAACTTCAGAAGCCGGCTTTTTTAATGGGCATTCTTGTAAATATTCAGAACTAATTCTAAGCAGTTCTGCAAGATTGTAGTTGATATGAAGATTCAATAGAGGGTCAACACGGAAATCGTCGACATTTTCATGAGCCAATGCCAGTGCTTCTTTGTACAAAGAAATAGCTTCTTGGTTCCTTTGTTCAATAACAGCTAATCCAGCAAGACCATTCAGGGCAACTACAATTTTCCTCAGCTCTTCCTCTCCTTCAATTTTTGCTTTGCCAATAAGAACCTGGATGCAAAATTATCATTGGCAACACTGAGCGCATTATTAAAAAAAAATTGCACTACAGAAAATAGGTCGCAACCAGGACTGAAAAATAATCAGCTATCCACCTGTAAAATTTCATCCATTGACAAAGGGTTATGCTGCAGGGAGCAGAGACCAGAACTCCCCACTTGTGGGTGGCAACATGCCTGCCGAAGTTTCAGCAGTGGGACTAGGAGCTTGGCAATGTCGTCATTGGAGAGGTAAACATTTAGCAAAGCATTTGAATCTACAAGCACAAGGCAGAAAGAACCTTCAGGTTTTTGGATAAAGGACATTAATGTGGCAACTAATCAACCATTGCAACATGTTTAATAAAAAGAGGTAACCTAGTCCTGAAAGCTCAAGGGACCAGGGAATTTTTAGGCAACATTACAGAAATATTTAACAGTCTTGCAAATTCGCTATTACCTATAAATGCCTCTGAAAATGGTATTATCCATATCCCACTCAAAATGGAATTCCGTCTATATTATCTACTTTAAGAAATGTCCATTCCAACTTTTTTTTGGCTCATTTTCTATGGAAAAGCATGAAAACCCTGACCCTGAAGAATTAATGTGGAAACATAAAATGGTTGATCTGGTGGATAAAGTACCTGAAATTGATTCTCTTCTATTCGTGTCATTTCTCAAACTTCTAATAATTTGATGTGCATGGTCCATGCAGGTTGCATGCTGCTTCTTATAGAAATATTCTTCAATGGAAGAAAAGATGAGCCATGAAAAACACTCTTCTTGCGGAGGCAGCTGCAGTTCTCCTGAGACATGAATTTTGGAGGAACGCCACATGATTTCCCTCAAGAAATTGTGTGCATAATTCATTGCTACTCTGTTCCCCCTCTGCAGTTCAATTCAATGAGACAAAAGGAGAATAATTACTCAGGCCAATTATCTCAGTAAACCAAATGCTATCAAATCAAATCCTACCAAGTAGCAACAAGCGTTACATGCAGAGCTGTGGCAACATTATTCACGATTTCATGTATTGCTATAAGAAACAACAAACCAGCACTAAAAAGTTCATTTTATCATGAGGTTCTCAGTCCTTTATAAGACATGCTTGCCTATGTTTTCAGACTATATGGACCTAGATGGTAAGAACTAAGAACCAATGGGCCAACTGTAAGACTTGCACTACCAAGGCTTATGCACTTCACTAGATCCATCATCACCACCATGAAATTATGGTATTTGAGATCCGTCAGCCTAGGCAAGTGATCACAGTTTATAAACGATAAACATTACAACATGAAAATGACTTCCATTGTCAGCATGTGACAGATTCAGTAGTAGCAGGCAACATACCTCATACGGGTCTCTAACAAAGTTCCGCTAGGCGCTCGCCTAGGCGCGCCTAGGCGCGATTAAGCGCTAATCGACGGCCCTCCGCGTAGACTAGGGTGTAGTCGCAGTCCTAGGCGGGAGCAGCGACTAGGCGGCGCAAATCGGCGCCTCATGGCGATTCCATGGCGGCTGGCAGCGCAAGGGCGGCGCAGCGGGCGGACGACCAGCTCAACGGCGAAATTTTTGTCCGCCATGAGCCTTGCAAGGCTTATGGCGTCTGGCGCGAAAGGATGCGCGGAAGGAGAAGAGGGAAAGGTCCACTCCCCGCTCGATTCCCGCCTTCCAGTCGCAGATAGCCGCTCGGCCACTCCCTCGTCCGTCTCCTCCTCCTTTCTGGCGCCGGAGGGAAGCTCCACCATGGCCCCGCTTGTCGCCCTCTTGCCGCCTGCGACCCGCCTGGAGGCTTGTCCCGGCCGGCCTCCTCTGCCCCGCCTAGAAGCTGCTTTGCCCGCCTCCTCTCCCCTTTGGAGGCTTGTCCCGGCCGGCCTCCTCCGCCCTCGAAAGCTGCTTGCCCTCTTCTCTCCCGAACTGGAACCTGCAAGACCAAGGTCGAGCCCTCCCTCTCTCCTCTCCTCCATGTCCTCTGCTTTTGAATGCATCCTCGCTTCTCCTCTCGATTTGAATGCAGCAGTGATTAGAAACGACCATCCAAAGATCAGCAAATTGTGATCATGCCTATATCTAGGTACATGAAGCAAAGTTTTTATGTACTGAGATCACAGTTTCCTAATGACATTACTAGACATTTGTTGATTTTTTTCTCCATAGCAAGTGATGCACTGAATAAGTGATGAACCATTCCTAGACATGAAGAATGCAAAGTCTAGAACTCAAAATTATCACAACAAAATGTAGCAAGCGCTTAGTAACTAGCTAGGGAAGAGATGTTCTAATCTCATTGTAAATTGGATGTTCCAAGCTCCACCGCTGATCACCAATGAGTTGATCTGATTTTGCCTGCTGTGAATGCCCATTGTCTAAATGTAGGATGTCTACAACAGAGGGTGCACTAGGTGAGGGAGAAAATAGTGAGTCAGCGAATCTCCTGAAAAGGAATTCGGATGATGTTGGATGGGAGTATGGTGTTCTTGTTGATCCTAACAACAAGGACAAGGTGAAGTGCAAGCTTTGTAAGAAGGAGATGAGGGGAGGGATTTATAGGTTGAAGCAGCATTTGGCTCATGAGGGAAAGAATGTGAAGAAATGCACGGCTACAACAGTGCAGGCCATGGAGGCTAAACAGAAGTGCAAGAAAGCACTAGATGAGGCAAAAAGGAAGAGGGAGGAGAAGACTATTCGTGAGCTAGAACTTAGAGAGGAAGTTAATGTATCTAGGGTTGGAGAGTCAGATGAAGTCACTTGTGTTGGAAGTTCAGAGCCTCACAAATTAGGACCCATGGACAAATGGACACGTGCTATTGATCCTAAAGCTACCAAGACTGATTCTTTGAAGCAACAGCAGCTGAACAAGGAACTTTGGAAAGAAAGAACACATGAGGTGCATAAGTATATTGCAAGATGGGCCTATACACATGGTAAATTGCTAGTATACTCTTCTCAGACTTACATTACATGATCACTAATTCATTAGATGTTATTCCTGATCACTAATTAGGCTTTTTTTAACATCGGCAGCAATACCTTTCAATGCATGTGACAATGATGAGTTTAAGCAAATGTGTGAAGCAATTGATCAGTTTGGTCCAGGACTTGTACCTCCATGTCAAGATTCACTTTGAGAGAGATTGTTGGAAGAAGAATATGAAAGAACCAAGAGTCTGCTGCAGGAACGTGAAGCCGAGAAGATAAAAAATGGGTGCTCTATTATGACCGATGCTTGGTCGAGATAGGAAGAGGAGAAGCATAATGAATCATGCACCAATTGTGCCGATGGAACCTCCTTCATCGCTCTAAGGAGATGTCCCATGTCTCACATACCGGTGAGGTCATCTTTGATCTTGTGGACAAAGCAATTGAAGAGATTGGTCCGCATAACAATGTGGTGCAAGTAGTGACCGACAATGCCTCTAACAACATGGGAGCAAAGAGGCTATTGGAAGAGAAGAGACCACACATATTTTGGACCTCTTGTGCAGCTCACACAATCAACCTTATGCTCCAAGGAATTGGCAACTTGACTCGGTTCAAGAAAGTGGTTGACCAAGCAAAGGCATTTACCATATTTGTCTATGGCCACACAAGGACATTGGAGTGCTTGAGATACTTCACAGAGGGGAAAGAGGTAGTGAGGCCAGGAGTGACTAGGTTTGCTTCAAACTTTCTCACTTTGAGTAGCATGCAAGAGAAGAAGGACCAGTTAAGGAAGATGGTGGTTCATAGTAGGTGGGACTCATTGAAGGATGTGAAATCAAAGAAAGGAAAATAGGCAACAGCAACTATATTGAGTCCAAGCTTTTGGAAGGATGTGAAGCTAACATTGACTGTTTTTGTGCCATTGGTCAAAGTCCTCCGTTTGGTTGATGGGGATGTGAGGCCATCCATGGGTTTCCTTTATGGACAACTACTAAAGGCAAAGAGACAGATCAAAGAGGCCTTTGGAAATGTTGAGGCTCGGTTCAAGGATGTAATAGCTGTTATTGACAAGAAGATGAATGGAAGACTTGATTCTCCATTGCATTTGACAGCCTATTTGCTGAATCCTCACTATAGCTAAAGTGACCCATCAATCTTTGATCAGCCCAAAATATCAGAAGGGTTTATATCTTGTGTTGAGAAATTTTTTTATCATGATGAGGACATGCAGCACATGGCTGCCAACATTAAACTAAAGAAGTTTCAGAATAGAGAAGGACCCTTTAGCAAGAAGCTTGCTAGGAATTTTGAAAACTTTGATTACAACCCAGGTAGAGGTACTTCCTATGGCTCATGGCTGTTTGTTGTTTGCTGTTTTCTAAACTAATAGAGGTGTTTTTTTATTTCAGCATCATGGTGGAGACTGTATGGATATGAAACACCAGCTTTACAGAAGATGGCTACAAGGATCCTGTCTTTGACATCAAGCTCTTCTGGTTGTGAAAGAAATTGGAATGGGTTTGAAGGGGTTAGTACCTAACTACCTATCTATTATGAACATGTTTCAAGCTTTCAGCAGCATTACAATTTAATTGTAGAACTGAGAATGCTCTTTTTAAATTGTAGATACACACTAAGAAGAGGAATAGGCTTACTACAACCCGCCTCAACAAGCTGGTGTATATCCAATTCAACTCCAAGCTGCTTAGTAAGAGAGAAAAGATCAAGTCAAACAAAATCATCGAGATACTTGGTCTAGTGATACAACTGAAGCTCAAGGTTTTCTCAAGAGGGTGGGGATGATTGTGCATTAGTCGACTTTAGAGATGAGGAGCAAGATGAGATGGAAGGTACCGGATACCTTGGTCCGTCATTGGAGAGGCGGTGGGGAGCGGATGAACAGCTTGAGTCATGCGTAGAAGTGCAAGAGTGAGGGAGCTCTATGAAGGAGAAGAATTTGAGTCTCAAGAAGAAGAGTATGACGATGAGGATGTGAACTACAAGGATTTAAGAAATATGAACTGCAGCTTGTATTGTAATGTCCTTTAGTTATAAATTGTGTTGTGCAAATTTGTATTGAACTACAAAGTGAGTGAGGGAACTATGTGCTTGTGCTGTCCTTTATTTATAAATTGTGTTGTGCACTTGTATTACTGTCCTATCCACTTGTATTGTAATTACCAACCGCTGATATGGTGTGCTCATGGATGGGAGGCTCTGAAATCATCCAGATAAGTCACAACTTAGTGTTTTCTATTTTTTTTGGATGACCATTATTTGTCTATTGACTAATTTACTAACTACTAGGCTGTCAAAATGTGTTGCAGGAGGCGGGAGCTAGGAACATGCAAGAAAGCAAGAGTAAGCCAGCTAGGAATCAGATATGTCTACTGCCCTCTTTTTCTACTTACTCATTAGTGTGACTCATATAGTCATATATAGTAGTTATATACATAATATATATATAATTTATGGCTATATTGTCAAAACGCCTAGGAAAACGCCTAGGAGCGCATAGGACCGAGTACTCCCGACTAGGCGCTAGGCAATGGGTCAGCGCCTAGATTCCGCCTAGCGCCTAGCTGAACTTTGGTCTCTAATAATGTCCACCCACCATCTATATGTGTCAAATGGGTTTGTCCTAAGAAAACGTAGAAGCCCAAAGAGATCATCAAGCCTACTCCACCATCTGAGCTTCATCCAAACAAAGCCACCACCAGTGGATCTGTTATGGCAAGTAGAGCTGGCCCAGGGGCCCACGCGGTACTGTAGCGACGCGTTACTGTAGCGCTTGATTTGTTAGGAAAGAGATATGTGGTTTGGTTTGTTTGGAAAGATATATGTTAGATTGATTCGGTTAGGATATTTTCTTAGGGGTAAGTCAGTCATCTCTCTAAAAAAGAACCTCTGTATCAGTTATAATCAGGCAAGAAGCAACAATTAAGTTGTTGGCTTCCCCTGGGAGCCAGCCGGCCCTGCCCTCTCCCCCTCGCGTGAACAGTACCCGCGGGGGGTACTGTAGCTCCGTCGCCGCCTCTCCCTCTCAATCCTAGCAGCCACATAACAATCTGTTATGGCAAGTAGAGCCGGAGCTGGCCCAGGGGCCCACACGGTACTGTAGCGCGTGATTAGATTAGATTGTTTGGTTTGTTAGGAAAGAGATATGTGGTTTGGTTTGTTAGGAAAGATATATGTTAGATCGATTCGGTTAGGTATTTCTTTAGGGGTAAAGTCAGTCATCTCTATAAAAGAGAACCCTGTATCTGTTATAGTCAAACAAGAAGCAACAATTAAGTTGCTGGCTTCCCCTGGGAACCAGCCATTCCTGCCCTCTCTCCCTCGCGTGAACAGTACCCGCGGGTACTGTAGCCCCATCGCCGCCTCTCCCTCTCAATCCTAGCAGCCACATAACAAGATCCTTGTCAGGACAGTTGGAATGACAGGACATCTAAAGAGTGTAATGAAGTTCAGCAGAGGTTCAACCAAAGTTAATTTAACTTATTAATAAATGGCATGTCTGGATAACAATGGGATTCTTACTGTAAGCACTCAATGAAGTACTTGGACTGAACAAGCTACTGCACTTCTATTTCAGCTATTATCAGTGTACGTGTACCCTGATTCTAAGTGATGAATAAGCTCGAGTCAGTTATCCTTTCAGCTTCACCAGATTTTTAGTACTCGCATAATGTCAGATCAATGAATAGGTATCATAATTCAAAATATGTGAACCATGAACCCAACACAACAAAAAAGGAAAGCATAAAGATAAAAGTACAGTGGCACAAATCTCTGATGGGGTGTGGTATGTCAGCTTGCGTTTGACTTTTCCAAGAAAAAAAATGGATGTTAGACATCAGTAGTAGGTTTAGCTCCCTCATTTTAATTTTGTTTTAATTGAAGCAATTTATTTTACACATGCTTTTTTAGGACAATTTATTGTACACATGCTAGCAAGAATATTATAGCTGTTTATACAGACAAAACATCAGGAAGAATCGTGCAATTACCTTTTCCTAAAATTTAGGAAGCAGATCTTCCTAGGGTTATATTTTCCAAATAACAACACAAGTTTGTAGTTTCAGCTCATTGATATCTTTGCAAGGCAGTAGCTTGTATATGGGTTATTGTTTATATTTAGCTTTCCTTGTCAAACAGCAACATTGTAAGCCTCCACACCCTGCATTTGCCTCAAACATGGAAAAAATCCATGGCTTCCTGGTTCTAAGGAAATGTATGTTTCCTATAGTTTATGGAGGGCTTGAAAACTGGAATCAGTCTAACCTATCATGTCAACCTTCATTGTGAAAACTAAACATTACTTGCCTCTTTTGAAATCTCAAGAAGCGGCGATCACCATCATGACGGTCAAAATCATGTGATAGATCTTCTTTCAAGACATCATAGGTTGTCAAGACAACATCAGCAGTACTTATCTCAGTCATCTCATTTTTTTGGATGGTAGCAAGATCCAAGTTCCTTGCACCTTCATAAATGCAAACTTTCAGAGATCCTGGCCTTGTGTGTCTAGAGTAAAGAAAAACAGCTGTCAGTACTATCATTATATGCATATACCTGTAGCTATACCGTACCAAAGAGGCCAAAACACTCAAAAAATAAAACTGGATAAGGCACTTGAAGCTTCATTCTTGGTATAGACTGCACTAGAGTCGAAATGTCTTATTCTCAAAAGCTTCCCATCATGGGCACACTTAACAAAGATCCATCAGAAGGATTTTTAACATAAAGTTGCAGAACTTCTATACTCAAAATAGAAGCAGTGAAGAAGAGATTGAGTGTTACGTGGCTGAAACAATGACAGCAAAATAACAACCTTACATTCTAAGCAAAAAGACAGAGATTTCAAAACTGAGAGCAACAGCAGGCAGTGTTGACGTAAACATTAAACGCTAAACAGATTCAGCCATTTAAACGCCGATTAAACGGACACAGCTGGCCACCATGTACCATTTGAATGGTGCTTAAGTGGCTAAACGGCCATTTAGGCGAAGCAGAACATAGTGTTACACAGTATGTCTCTCGAATTCTCGATATAGCGAAGTGTAGCTTGGAAAATTTGAAAAATATTGATTCTGGTATTCAGAAATTATGCGCAAAATTGTTCAATTAACATTTGGATAAAAGAAATCATACCGGGTAATCTCAGAGTGCCATTGTGCCAATATTGGTGCGGGACATACTATCAATGTAGCATGGCTGAGTATATTAGTTTGAGTTGCTTCAGTAAGCTCCAAGCACAGTGCACAAATGTATTTGTCTTCTGTCTCAACAACAGAACACCTGGGTTTCTTTTTCCTTCTAATTCCAGACTTCATGGTGCTTTTTTTGTTTGTTGATGCTACAACTTCAGCGGTATCATCAAAAAGTATATCTTTCTTGGGTGAGTAACCAACACAATCAGCATGTTGCCAAGCATCACAAATGTCACATTGAACCCATAGACCCGTGTATGCAGAACTTTCACTCGCAGCACCACAGATGCACTCAACCCTTTCTACTTTCTGCCTCTTAATTTGATCCATTTCTGTTTTGTTCTGGAAGACAGAAAAGCTTAATGAAATTGGTCTACGATGAGCAAAAATGCATGCTAATAGCTCGACAGTTTTCCCCAAAACCCATTTCATCTGTATCAATTGAGGACAGAAAAGGAGTGTCAGCGGTAACTATCCACAATAGTAAATACCATAAAAGCAGTATAATAATGAATTGATGAACACAATTGTTATCGACTTACCAGCCAAAATGCCCCCAGAGACATAAGGTGGAGAAGGCTCTGGTTGCAATGAAATATTTCCGCTGCATAGTAAGTCAGTAACAGATATGTCAAAATCTGAGGTATTCACGGGAACAAAAAGAATTGAAATCAAGATTGGCGGAAACATTATGTGTATGGAAAGCATGTTGCTCAAATAGTACAACAATATGCAATGAACTTAAGAAATCTCAAGCATACTTAACTAAACAAGCTACAATCATATCAACTAGACTTGATTAATGTTTACACACTTCAGACTTACTTGAACGGATTATAGAACATCCTGGAATTCTTGTGAATAAAATCAATAGGAACACAATATGGTGCAGGATTAGCATATTCTTGATGGGGTATATTTCCCTTTTCACGTTGAACCATCCAATGTGCTGCACGAAGTTGATATGGTCTGAGCTGAGGAACTAAATCAGGAAGGTCCTCTTCCAACTGTTCTGCATTACTAACAACAGGAATAAAAGATAAGTATCATACAACGGCCAGAAAAAAAGTATGATACATCCTAAGGATCATAACGAAGCTTTGTATAACTCAAATCATAGATTCTGATCACACAAGCACATATGGTGTATCATAATAAAAAACGGCAGCAAGTAGTTATCTATAAGTTTAAATGCTTTCATTTCATATTCATGTTAAAGCACATGATTATGAGGTTAGAGTAATAGTGAGATGTAAGATACTCACATCGAAGGCTTAACGGCCTCATAAAAAGCGGCAAGATCAAACTGTGAATCATTCTTCGGTGTCAAATCAGCATTACCACCATCATCCATTGGCACACCAAGGTCATCCAACCCATATATGGCTGCCGATGTAGTGACCTCAGGACGCAGCCAAGCCATCATATTCATCAAACTCTTTCTCCATGGATGCCTAGCCACCTCCAGCAGCGATTCGCACGCGCTGAAAGCCTGTTCCATCACCTCCACTCTAATCCTAAATGACTCAACCCTCGCCTCACCCATATCCTGAAATGCTCTGAACCATTGAACCCGGAGCGTGATGAATCTCAAGCTCACCAAATGGGCGAGACCCGATACACCTTCATCAGGACCATCAAAACACCCTGAGACCACATATTCTGCGTGCTTCCCTTCACGACTCTCATGGACGACATACTCCAGGAGCACGCAATCCGACGGCATAACGGGCCACTGGCCCATCCTGAACCCCTCCTCCGGCGCGTCGCGCACCCGCAGACGCAACGAGAACGTCGACGCCCCGAATGCCTCCTCCAACGCACCTTCCCCATCCCCGTCGCCGGAGACGCTCACGTCGCGGAGGACCACCTCGGCGATATCGCGGTGGTCAACGTCGGCGTGACCCCACGTGCTCCTATCCACCTCCACGCAGACGTCTCTCCTCGCATCGCCCTTGGTCCCACGCTTCGTGCTGCCGCTAGGGCTCGGCGCGTAGGGGTCGGCCTCGGCCGCCGCAGAGGCAGCGCCCGCAGCTCGAACCGGCCGCGATTTCTTCCTCCCCATATGTGATTCAGGCGGTGTGGTGGACCATTCGGTGGGGCTTTGGACACCGGTGCGGAATTGGGCGTGGGAATTATCAGAAACCTTGAATTTTGAGAGGAGCGGAAGGACGAGATGGGAGCATCGGCTAGTGCCTGGGGACGGGGCAGTGCTGGGAAGATATTGGGTAGATTGGTGGCTTGGAGGTTTTAGGAGGAGCCGACGAACTGACGATCTGACTGGAGAGGACGGCGGAGGAAGGGCGGCCGGAGTGTGTGTGTTTTGTTTATCTGGCTATACAAAACGGCTATCCTACCACCCGGACGTCCGGCGCACAGCGCGCGTCCGGACGCCCCCGCTCAGGTGCTTAACCACCCGTGTCCCTTTCGCCCCTGCCCCACGCGCATGCCTCCGGCCCAGTCCGCTGGCCCTTAGGCGAGCCGCGACCTTAGCTCGCCCTCGCAGCCCGTCATGTCTGCCTTGGCACCACCCACGTGCGCAACGAGCACGCCCACACAGCACCCCTATCCGCCGGCCCCCAACGCCTCCGTCCACTAGCCCCCAGCGAGCCACGCGCCCCCGTTCGCCAGCCTCCAGCTCGCTCCCTGGTCGAACAACATAAAACGTTCAAATAAAATATTTGCAACAATATAGAACAACTGCTGCAACATAAGATCGAAGCAGCTGAAACATTTGAAACATATTATTGCAACATTTGAGTGAACCATACGAAACATCCGGATTAGAACGATTGCAACATACGTCTAGAAACAGGTGAAACATTTTGAACAAATGCTTGCAACATGCCTTTGAAACACTTGTAACATATGCAACATGTGCAACATCCCCAGATCTACTTTGCAACATCCATATGATTCAACTGCAGTATACCTCTGAAGCGTCTAAAACAATTGAAAGATATAATTGCAACAAGTGGGAGAGAGAGTCTGCGCGGAGAGCGCCACGGTCGTCGGATCTTAGGGCATTGGGAGCTCCCTGTGGGGGAGGACGCTGGTGTCGGGGGAGGGGCGCTGCCGGGGTGGGGGAAGAAGCCACCGGGGTGGGGGGAGGAGGACTCCGCGGTGGGAGAGGGCGCGTGCCGAGGTGGGTGAGAGTGCCGCCGTCAGCCAAGGAGGGAGCAGCGTGGCACGTACAACGGGAGGGGCGGAGAGGAGCGCGAGCCACGGGGAGATGACAGATGAGTGGAGGAGGACACGCTCGAGAGAGAGCAGATAAGTGCGGATAAGTAGGGAGAAAGGATCACGGTAATTAAACGAACGAAAGGATCACGGGCAGGATGCACGGGGCGTGCTGCGTGCGGTGCGCAGCGCGGACGGGTCCATCTGGACGGACGGACGTCCTATAAAAAGCATTACCGTATACAAAATATGGGTGATCCGTGGATTCTGATGATCCCCACGGGAAAAATAAATTAGATGGACTTTGGGTCCATTAGTCCCACACGACCTCCTAATAAGATCGTACGTCTCACCAGAGGAATATATCCTCCACATCACTATGGCTCCACACGTGGACACACAGGTGGAGCCACTTTGGGAGAGCTCAATGCCCATTTGATTTGGTTAGACATCCAGGTGTCAACCATCCGTAACAGGGTGCACGAAGGAGCTAGGGATATGGAGGACCAAAATCACTCAGATTTCTTAATGCCACAAATTTATGTAATGCAACTATATTCATCACATACATTTTATAAGACAAGTGGATTTTAAACAAATATATAGCAAATTAAAAAACAAATTTTAAACAAATATATACGTAAAGCAATTGCTTGGAAAAAAAGTAAGTTCCATACAATCTATAGTTACAACAATTCCATATTATAAATTATATTAAAATAATCTAGTAAATTTAATGGGCGAAAGGGTCTCTGGCTGAGTTGGTTATATGGTTTGAGTAGCACTCCTCAGCTGAGTTCGACTCCTCGTGTGAACGAATTTCAGGTTGAATTTAAAAAAATCCCCTCGTCTACACAGGTCTAAGGCCTGTCTCTGGTCGTTGTTGTTCTCACATGAGCTACGGTGCCGTTGTGTATCGGTGGGGTAAGGGTTTATGGTTTTTCTGGACCTGTCTGAGAAGGTCTTTTTCTTAATGCAATCCCCGGAGACGCTCTTACCCATGTAGGTCGAGTTTTTTTTTTAATAATAACTATAATTATGCATGAAGACATCAAATGTTCAAGCATCTCTACATGGTCACTCACAGTCTCATAATCACTAAAGTTGTGAAAATATACAAATCAAAATCAAAGACGTAGAAAACATGAAATAGAAAAAAGAAAAACATATTAAAAAAGAAGAAACATAACAAAGGAATGTCTTATGGAAATCTACAAAATCAAACAACCTTTGCATTATTCTGACCAAAATGCTACTAGAATATATAACTATGGAAATCAAAATAAAAAATGCAGATGACATGGACTTAAAAATGAAAATAAGGGAAAACATATAAAAAGGTAAAACAAAGGCATTATACAGAAAGTTATGAAAATCCATAGCAGCTTGCATCAATTGAACCTAACTACTACTACAAGATATTAGTATGTCATTTAAATCAAAGAAAGAGATGAAATAAAAAAAACTAAGAAGAAAATAACATATTTCAAAGACAGATGCATGATGCAAAACAATAGGGAATACAACTAATATAGCACAGAAATTGCAACATTCCACAAAGACAATTACACTGGAACTATAAACATAAAATACGCATAACATGATATAAAATTGGAACCAAATCACATACATTATCAATGAATAGTAGCCATAAAATGAACCTACATATAATACACTCCTGCTACTTACAACTAAAATCTCAATAAAAAGGAAATAAATAGATTACATCTTGTTGCAACTACTGCTGAAATGCAACCATAATAAGGCAAACAGCAAGTAGCAACTGCAGCTTACCAGCAAATGTAAACACATTATAAGGCTTTCTCCGGCTTATCAAGCACCCAATGCCTTCCTCCGGCTTTGTAATTTACCTATAAGAAGAGATCAATTCCTTTTAGGTAACCAAATTTGCTTGGGTCCTCCAAGGTTACTGACTAAGCTTTTGGGCACCTAAATAGCTTTCTTCTGAGACCACAATTGGTACACCAATGAACTTAGCATGAACACCATTAGCACCCCTAGAAAGTAAATAGCAAGAATCAAACTTAATGGAGGATATGGTAGGGTTCTTGTTCTTGCAATTTCTCTCCAAATGTCCCACTTCATTGCACTTGTTGCAATAGGTCCCATTACCCCTCACAAATTGACTCTTGTGAGAGGCAAAAGATTTTTTGCCACTCTTTGGGACATAGCCTAAGCTCTCTTTGTTACAAGAGAACCTTCGACTACTTAGGCACTTGAGCAAGTGGGTATATCCACCGTACGCCTTTCTGAGTGCATATGTGAGCTCATTAACCTCCTTCTATAGTGTTTCATTCTCTACAATGAGAGTGGAGTCACAAGTGAAACCATCACTAAAGAGAAGTACTTATGCTACAAGAGGGGTTAGTGGTCGCAACAACAATAGGAGTAGAATATCACAAGTTACTCCTACATTGGCTATTTCAGTAGGCTACTTCCTTTGAACAAGGAGAGAGGAGTGAGCTTCCTTCAACTTCTCATGAGTTTCAATTAGAGCCTCATGAGTAGCTAAATGCTCATTAAGGGTTTGCTCAAGAGCTTTGTGCCTTTTATGCAACTTGAATTTTCCCTCTTCTTGTTTTTGAGAGAATGAGCCTCTTGCAATAGCTCGATCAGTTCCTCCTTGGAGGGCTCCTCGTCCTCAATATCACTCCCACTATCGCTCTCATCATATTGTACCTTTGGGCCCTTGTTCATGACGCATGATGAGGGGGTGTCAAAGATGGAGGGCTTCTTATTGATGGCGATGTTGACAAGTGACTTGATCTTGTTACTCTTCTCATCATCATCACTTTCACTTGAGGCATCAGAGTCCCACTCGACACAATACACATATGGCCTTTCGTATTCTTCTTAAAGGTCATTGTTTTGCCTTCCTTGTCCTTCTAGGACTTGCTCTTCTCATCCTTGGAGCTCTTCTCCTTCTTGGGACAATTGTCTGTAAGATGACCAATATCCCCACACTCATAGCACCTTCTTTCTTCCTTCCTTTTGGATGAGGATCTCCTTTAGGCATGGCAATGGGGTAGATACAAAAAAACGCATGCATGATATATTTTATATATTGACATGTATAAACAAGAGGCAATAAACAATACACAATTTCATGACTCAACTTATAACACACTTAATAGCTTACATAAATAATTTATTAATAAAACACATGAGTTTTTATTCAACTGGTCTATTTCGGACATCCATTGGACATCCGCCTAGAGGGAACCGAAATGTGAAACTGAACCCAATAAGTTTTGGCTTCATCGTGGGGGGGTGAAATCGAACCGAAGCCGCTGGACCCAAACTCCACGAATCTCTGACCCGAAATGGCCCCACTGCCATCCCTAGTCTCCTTCTTCTTGCACCATAACCTTTCTTCTTCATGAACTTGCCAGACCGGTGCACAAAGAGAGCCATGTCCTCCTCCTCCACACTTGAGCTTGAGCTTGCATCTTCATCATCACTTGATTCTTCCTTTTCTTGCTCTTGCCATTGGATGATGTGGTGGCCTTGAATTCCACACTCCTTTTCTTCTTCCTTCTCCACCTCCGCAATTTTCTCATGGTATGTGTCTTGTGTGACTACATCATCTAGTACTTGGGTAGGGGTGACTCCCTTCAAGCTGCCTCTCACAATGATAGTCACCAATGTGTCAAACCTTGGTGGGAGGCATCTCAAGAACCAATAGGAGAAGTCCTCATCATCAACTTTGTGCTTCAAATTCCTTAGCCCATTTACAATGGCATTTATCCTATGGAACATTTATGGCATACTCTCATCTTTTAGCATCTTGAACTTGGCATACTTATCCTTGAAGATGTAGAGCTTGGCTTCCTTGACCGCTGAGGTGCCCTCATATGAGTCTTC